TCAGACTCTAAAATATCAGATAAGTTACGTGGATCATATATATATATATATATATATATATATATGTGTGTGTGTGTGTGTGTGTGTGTGTGTGTGTGTGTGTGTGTGTGTGTGTATGTATGTGTGTGTGTGTTTATATATATATATATATATATATATATATATATATATATATATATATATTACTCACACACACACACACACATACATACATACATACATATATATATATATATATATATATATATATATATATATATATATATATATATATATATATATATATATATATATACATACATACATACATACATATATATATATATATATATATATATATATATATATATATATATATATATATATGATCGACTAGATGTTTATGGCTGTACACTCACTTCGCTGACAAGAGTACAACCAGCAGGAATTGCGCCAGGTTGTTCCACGGAGCATGTTATCGCGGTGCACACAGAGCTCTTCGGTGTGATACTTGAGGTAGCTCTCTCTCTCTTACTCTCGCTCTCACTCTTTTCTCTCTCTCTCTCTCTCTGTCTCTCTCTCGTTCTCTTTCCATCTCTCTCTCGTTCTCTTTCTATCTCTCTCTCTCTCTCTCTCTCTCTCTTCTGTGTGTGTGTCCCTCTCCCCCCCCCCCCTCTCTCTCTCTCTTTATCACCCTCCCTCCCTCCTTCCTTCCTTCCACCCCTCCCAAGCAGGTGTTACTGCTTCGAGAAAATTACACGCATTTATCAGTCAGTAGAGTCATTTGTTTTCACAGCACGAGGATCAGACTAACAATAACAATAATGATAGTAGAGAGTATCAGAATTGCTCTCTATTACAACGTCATCCTTCAACAAAGACCCCCAAGGTAACTCCGGAGTCGCTTCAGTCTGTGTCCGGAAGCGCGGGAAAACGTTCGGTTCTTGTGTTCGTTGTCGTCGGCGTGTCTTTGTTGCAGGAATCCCGCTAGAGGTAAGAGGTTTAAGATTTAAAAAAATTGAAGAACATGCCTGTATTGAACGCAGTGATGGGAGAGAGAGAGAGAGAGAGAGAGAGAGAGAGAGAGAGAGAGAGAGAGAGAGAGAGAGAGGAGAGAGAGAGAGAGAGAGAGAGAGAGAGAGAGAGAGAGAGAGAAAGATAGATAGATAGATAGAGATAGATAGATAGATAGATAGATAGAGAGAGAGAGAGAGAGAGAATGAGAGAGTCAGATGGGGAGGGGAAGTGATGAGACAAAGAGAGAAACAGTCATATAAATGTATCGATGTATCGATTTTTTCCCGATACATTTTGAGAAAAACACCTTAGCGATACCAACAAAACGATACTGTTACTGAGTAGCCAAGGCGATACCAATACCAATACAAAAGTATCGATCAGTATGTATCGCGATCCTGGCCATCTCTTACTGTACGCGAGTATGGTGAGGTGGAGTGTAAATCGTGTTGAAAATAAGGAAGTGTGTATATGTGTGTGTGTGTGTGTGTGTGTGTGTGTGTGTGTGTGTGTGTGTGTGTGTGTGTGTGAGAGAGAGAGAGAGAGAGAGAGAGAGAGAGAGAGTGAGAAAGAGAGGGAGAGAGCACGGAAGAGGGAGGGGAAAAGAGTGGCGGACAAACAGGCAGGCCGCCAAACAAACATACATACAGACAGAAATGCATACAGACAGACAAAGAGGCAGAACGACAGACAGGCAAGCAAGCAACCAATCAACCAACCAGCAAGCAAGTATGCAGGCAGGCATGCAGGCAAGCAGACAGACAGACAGTCAGTCAGTCAATCTGCCAGCCAGCCAGCCAGCTTATGAAAAAATGAATAAATGAATGAGTGGATAAATAAAGAAACATATAGATATACAACTGAATGAATGGATAGACAAATAAATCCACAGATAGAACATAGAACACAATAATACGTTCAAAACATTCCATGTGTATTAGGAGCGTTTCGAAGCTTCATTCACGACCCGACTTTTACATGTTACTACAGCACAGTGCAGTTTGTCTTATTATTATTATCATTATTGTTATTATTATTATTATTATTAACATTATTATTATCATTATCATGATTATTATTTCTTACTAATGATATTTCTCTCACTATAAACTTTCCTCCTCTTTTCCTTCTTAAAATACTAATATACAAATTCTCACTAATATACAGATATAATGGGCAGCTAGGGTACTTATATTAAGATATATATAATCATTTTGAACATCATTTAGGCATAATTGAATATGAATCTATAAACTCATTTAGCGTTTTCACTTTAACTAGTATCAATCTATTTAAAAAGTTATATCTTCAAAAAAATAATTCGTTCGAAAGCGTGGTTCACGGAAAAAATAGGTTGTAATGTATCATTTTTTTATACATACGAACGCATTTGGCAAATACACCCGCCATGAATCTGTCCTATACTGTCCCTTTTCACATGCGCCATATATATATATTTTGTGGTCTGGAGATGCTCAAAACTAGAGCGTAAATGAACTGTAAAATGTCTGTTCTTATTTTTGAAAGAATATTTTGCGCGATTATTCCGTGTCGACGAAAATGGCGGCTTTTGGTTAATATTTTGCTTCGTCTCTTGATGACAGAATTTTTATTGACAACATCAGTGATTTTTGGGATAATGAAGATGGGGAAGATGATGATGGTGACGATAATCATGATGATGATTGATGTTATTATTATTATTATTATTATCATCACTATTATTATTATTATTGTTATTATTATTATCATTAGTATTATTGTTGTTGTTATTTTTTTTTCAGTGATATCAGCACTGTCATCATCATCATCATTTTCATCATCATCATTATTACTGTTATTATTATTACTATTATTGTTATTATTATTATTATTATTATTATCATCACTATTATTACCACTATTATTTTTTTATCATTATCATTATTACTATGCTGATTATGTTTATCATTGTTTTCAATTATATTATCATTTATCATTGTCATCATCATCGTTAATATCGTCCCTATTATCATTGTCATCTTCATGAGAAACATCATTATAATTATTTATATTTCATCACTGTCACTGTCATCGTTATTGATGTTATTGTTGTTATTCGTTTCATTATCATCATTATCATTACCATCTTTTTACGGTTTTCGCTACTCTATTTCTCTCTTTATTTCTTGTATTCGTTTTGCTGTGCATCTGTTGGTTCACTAAGTAAAAACAGCTGTGATGAATTACCTTACTGAAATATCTTATTATCGTTATTATTACCATTTTATTATTCTCACATTCAATTATGATCACCATCATCGTTGTGAAGTTTATTATCACTATCGTTATCATTTATTGTTATTTTGTCAAGTTAGTATTTTCTACAAGTTGCCGGTGCAAGCTCATGGCCGTGGCACGTTGTTTGACCTTCATTCACTAATAAAATAAGGAAAAAAAAAGGAAAACAGGAGAGATGGTCTATTGTTAAGCTCTAGAGATATTCCTGTTGATGTTTTCCTAAGCTTAGTGTTGTGATGTTTTTTTTCTGTTGTTTATTAATCTGTATTTTCTATATTTAGTTATGTTTTCTAATGATGTGTTTCCAAACTTGTTAGTATTTTCCCAATCTTTTTTTTTTTTATTCATTATTATATTTTTATTATTATTTCATGATGTTTATCGCTATTTTCCCTAAGCCTTTTCCCATCTCTCCAAAGGGCAGTGTTTGTTTTCATTTTTCAGATCCTGCTAATTACCATTCTCTCCCCCCCCCTCCCTTTCCCTCCCTTTCTCCCTAAATCCCACCCTCCCTCCCTCCCTGCCACTCCCTCTCCCTGATTCCCACCCTCCCTTTCTCCCTACGCCCTCCCTCTCCCTCCCTTTCTCCTTAACTCACACCCTCCTTCCCCCTCCCTTTCTCCCTAACTCCCACCCTTCCTTTCTCCCTCCCTCCCTCCTTAACTCACACCCTCCTTCCCCCTCCCTTCTCCCTAACTCACACCCTTCCTTTCTCCCTCCCTCTCTCTCCCTTCCTTTCTCCTTAACTCACACCCTCCCTCCCTCCTTCCCCCTCCCTTCTACCTGACTTCCACCCTCCCTCCCTCCCTTTCTCCTTAACTCATTCCCTCCTTCCCCCCCTTCTCCCTAACTCCCACCCTTCCTTTCTCCCTCCCTCCCTCTCCCTCCCTTTCTCCTTAACTCACACCCTCCCTCCCTCCTTCCCCCTCCCTTCTACCTGACTTCCACCCTCCCTCCCTCCCTTTCTCCTTAACTCATTCCCTCCTTCCCCCTCCCTTTCTCCCTAACTCCCACCCTTCCTTTCTCCCTCCCCCTCCCTTTCTCCCTGACTCCCACCCTCCCTCCCTCCCTCCCCCTCTTCCTCCCTCAATTTGGTCGGTTATGCTTCGATCTCTACTTGAATGTTTGTGCCTGACTGTCTGTGCCAAATCGTGACGTCATTCTGCTCTGACTTTTACTGGTCTGTGGTCGGGCCATTTTGTCACGGTTCGCCGGTGTTGATGGAAATAAGTGCAATGTTAGTGTATCTATTGATGGGTATTATGTTGTTACTTTCGCATGTTGTTTTATCATTGTTATTATTGTTATTTTAGTAGTATTAGTAGTATTTTTATTTTTGTTATAGTCATTGATATTATCCTCATCACCATCATCATCAATCAGCATCATACTATTATTATTATCATTATTATTATGATTATTTTAATTATATTGGCTATATCATAACTGCTGTTGCCATTGTGATGGTTGTGTTTATAACTTCAATCATCATTTTCATTCTCAAAACCATATTCTTTATCAATATTGTCATAACAATCATCACCAATGATAATAACACCACTCTCATAAAAAAAGAAATATAAAAAATCACCCATTAACATTACTATCATTCTCATCATCACTGCCATTATTATCATCAGTATCCCTGCATCATCGTGGCAGATGTTACGGACAGCAACAGCGATGACAACTTCAAAAGGCAACTTCCGCCTTCAGTTCCTTTAATGGCGCGTGATGCTTCCGGAAACTTCGCTCGCTGCCTCAACCCGTCCACTTCACTGCTTCACTTCTTGGCGCTTCGGAGTTTAATGTCGCTCTCGTATCACAACATTGATATTGGCAACGGAGTGCTTCGAGGAGAAATATGTGTGGTTTTCGCCTGATTCTATTAGATTCTATTGATCATATTGGCAACAAAAAGGAAAATTCAGCAACGACAACATAAACAACAATAACGAAAATACCGACAACAGTAAACACGCAAACACAAACAACACCGACGATATAACAAAGACGAGACATACACAAACACAGACAATACCTTTAACAACAAAAACAATTACAAACACAAATAGACAACGAAATCACACAGCGAAAAAGACGTATAATACCGATAAAGAAATAAATGCAAATAATACCGAGAAGTAAATCACAAGCACAGATAGTACTAACAACGAAATAACAAATGCAAATAGTACCAACAACAAAAATATGAAACCTTACCGATAAATAAAACACCAACACCGCAAATGAAGCGCGAAAAATAAGGACAAAGAAAACATCGACAAATACAAAGAAAGTATTGACTCGAAAACCTCTGCTTCTACTTCTTCGTCTTCTTTTTCTTTTTCTATTCCTCTTCCTCCTCCTTCTTCTTCATCTTATCATCATCATTATTCTATTTCCTCTACTTTATTATTTTTATAATTATTACTGTTGTTGTTATGATAATTATTGTTATCATGTGGTGTTTTAATTTATATTATTATGATCACCATTGTTAAGACTATCACTATGATGATGATGATGATGATAATTATTATTATTATTATCACTTGATTGTTGGTATCATCACCATCACCATCACCATCATCATCCTCATCCTCATCATTAATGTATTATAGTAATTGTTATCACAGATATTATTTCTGGAATTATCATTTTCATTATATTATGATTAGCATAGAATCATGATTTTCGATATTTTCACTTTCACAATTTTCCACGGCTTATTATAAGAATATATATTCCTCTCTAAAGTAATTCAAAGAAGACAATGAACACTTCATTGTCACAAATATAAGAAGATGTATGAATTAGAACGAACTTCGTTTCGTTTCATTTCGTTAATACATTATTTAATCAAATTGTGTATTTTTTATTTACTTTTTATTTTTATTTTTTTCCCTTTTCTTTTTCTCCTTCCTCTTTTTTTTTCTTTCTTATCAGCGTGTTTATCGCACCTAACTACATGGCCTTTGCTCATGCATTACGAGTGAGAGTGGGCGTGACTGAGGGCGTGAGTGACTACCATGGCTGACGGTTACTTTTTTTTTACTATCTGCGGCTCTGATCAATTTAATACAATTGAGGAAGTGCACATCCTACTCGCGAGTTTTGAGACGATTAAGTTCAGCAAAAAAATTGATATTTCTGGAAATTAAACTATACACACACACACACACACACACACACACACACACACACACACACACACACACACACACACACACACATATATATATATATTAATTTCCAGAAATATCACTACATATATATGTGTGTGTGTGTGTGTGTGTGTGTGTGTGTGTGTGTGTGTGTGTGTGTGTGTGTGTGTGTGTGTGTGCATGTGTGTATGTGTGTGTGTGTATGTGTGTGTGTGTGTGTGTGTGTGTGTGTGTGTGTGTGTGTGTGTGTGTGTGTGTGTGTGTGTGTGTGTATGAATATATGTACGTATGTTTGTATGTATATGTACGAGTATACATACTTATAAAGTCTGACTCGCTTCGCCCTCTGGCGGGAGGAAATGCAATGGAGACTCAGGAAGAATGTGATATGTTACAAATCACATTTTACAATGTCAAATCTGATATGGTATAACTTATTCAGGGTGTACAGCATCTGCATATATAACAATGACAGCTTATTTCGAATTGTGTGACAGATGCGATAGAATTGATAGTAAGACAATGGAAATGATATTGATAATGTCAGAATTGTTGTTATTTCTTCAACGCGAAATGATAGCATGCACTTTTAAACAAATTAAAGAAGAAAGGATAAATATGAATATCATGTTAAGGATGTATATTTGCTTACAGTCACAGTTTTCTTTCTTCTTCCATTTATTCATTTTTAAAATAGAAAAAAAAATTGTTTACTTTCAGATTTCAAAGATGGCGCTTCCGTTCGTATCCCTCCTCTACTATTTCTCCCTGTGGCTTACTGTCTTTTCAGGTAAGCTTTATTACATCGTCAAATATCCATCGCATCCGTAAGAAAGTCGCTCCTCCCACCTCTTAACTGATTCAGTGCCCTTTCCCTGCAGCCGATGCCGATGGTTTTCCGGACGCTGCTGCCTCTAGACTGATTCTGGAACTAAATATGGCTGGCGGAGATGCCGACATACTCGATCAGATTGTTGCTTTCAAGACTTTGCCAACGAGGGACACTCATGTAGCAGAGGTCACAGGAGAAACAGAAGCCGAAGGAAAAACAGAAGCCACATGGGGAATAGAAGTCACAGGAGAAACGGATGTCACGGGAGAAATAAAGATCAAAGGAAAAACAGAAGGCATAGGAGAAACAGAAGCCACATGGGAAACAGAAACTTCAGGACAAACAGAATCCACATGGGAAACACAAACCACAAGGGAAACAGAAACTTCAGGACAAACAGAAGTCACAGGGGAAACACAAACCACAAGAGAAACAGAAATTTCAGGACAAACAAAAGCCACATGGGAAACACAAACCGCAATGGAAACAGAAACTTCAGGAGAAGCAGAAACCACATGGGAAACACAAACCACAAGGGAAACAGAAACTTCAGGACAAACAGAAGTCACAGGGGAAACACAAACCACAAGAGAAACAGAAATTTCAGGACAAACAAAAGCCACTTGGGAAACACAAACCGCAATGGAAACAGAAACTTCAGGAGAAGCAGAAACCACATGGGAAACACAAATCACAAGGGAAACAGAAACTTCAGGGCAAACAGAAGCCACAGGGGAAACACAAACCACAAGAGAAACAGAAACTTCAGGGCAAACAGAAGTCACAGGGGAAACACAGACCACAAAAGAAATAGAAATTTCAGGACAAACAAAAACCACTGGGGAAACAGAAACCACAGGAAAAGCAGAAACTTCAGGAGAAGCAGAAACCAAAGAAGAAACAGGGTCCTACAGTAATTATGACAGAATACCTATTAACGCGATCCTGAACACAAGCCAGGGTTACGTGTCACATCCTCAACACACGAATCCAGGAGATGGAAAACACAGAACGGAGAGTTGTGTTGATATCGCTCCTAAAGCAAATGATTCTAGTGTTAATCTTACTAATGACGACCCTTTTCTGAAAGCTAGAAATGCAACAGATCCTGTCCCTGTTTCTCCCACAGAAGATCCAGTCCCTCTTTCTTCCCCATTGAATCTCACAGAAGATCCGATTCCAGTTTTTCTTCCGATTCCCACTGAAGATCCTGTTCCTGTCTCTCCTTCTCCTCCCACAGCAGATTCTGTCTTTGTTTCTTCTCCACTGAATCCCACAGAAGATCTTGCCCTTGTCTCTCTTCCTCTTATTCCCACAGAAGAGCCTCTTCCTGTCTCTTCTCTGATTGTCACAAGTGGCCTTTTCCCTGTGTCCTCCTATGCGACGCCCACGTACGATCCCTTCCCCGTCTCTCCTGTGACGCCCACAGATGATCCTGTCCCTGATTCTTACTCTTTGTCTCCCACAGATGATTCCGTCCCTGTCTCTTCCTTTCTGAATCCCACAGACAATCCGGACTCTGACTCTCTCCCCATAACTCCCACAGAAGATCCGGTCCCTATCTCTCTTCTGACTTCCATAGATGATCCTATACCTATATCTTCTCCTTTAACCCCCTTAAAGGCTTCTGTTCCTGTCTCTCCTCCCCTGACTTCCCCTATAATTCCCACAAATGCGCCTATCCTTGTCTCTCCTCTGGCACCCACAGATGATTCTTTCCTCGTCTCATCTCCTGTGACTCCCGTAGATGTTACTGTACTTGGTTCTCCTCCTCTTTTTCCCACGGAAGATCCTGTTCCTATCTCTCCTCTGATTGTCACAAGTGGCCTTTTCCCTGTGTCCTCCTATGCGACGCCCACGTACGATCCCTTCCCCGTCTCTCCTGTGACGCCCACAGATGATCCTGTCCCTGATTCTAACTCTTTGTCTCCCACAGATGATTCCGTCCCTGTCTCTTCCTTTCTGAATCCCACAGAAGATCTTGCCCTTGTCTCTCTTCCTCTTATTCCCACAGAAGAGCCTCTTCCTGTCTCTTCTCTGATTGTCACAAGTGGCCTTTTCCCTGTGTCCTCCTATGCGACGCCCACGTACGATCCCTTCCCCGTCTCTCCTGTGACGCCCACAGATGATCCTGTCCCTGTTTCTCCCACAGAAGATCTTGCCCTTGTCTCTCTTCCTCTTATTCCCACAGAAGAGCCTCTTCCTGTCTCTTCTCTGATTGTCACAAGTGGCCTTTTCCCTGTGTCCTCCTATGCGACGCCCACGTACGATCCCTTCCTGTCCTTTTCCTCTAACTCCTTCAACCATGACTGCCACAGACGATCCTTTCCCTTCCACTTCTCCTGTGACTTCAGCAGACTATCCTACTTCTGTTTCCCTTCCTCTGACTCTCACAGATGACCCTATCCCTGTCTCTTCCCTTCTTACTCCACCTCTTCCTGTCTCTTCTCTGATTGTCACAAGTGGCCTTTTCCCTGTGTCCTCCTATGCGACGCCCACGTACGATCCCTTCCCCGTCTCTCCTGTGACGCCCACAGATGATCCTGTCCCTGTTTCTCCCACAGAAGATCTTGCCCTTGTCTCTCTTCCTCTTATTCCCACAGAAGAGCCTCTTCCTGTCTCTTCTCTGATTGTCACAAGTGGCCTTTTCCCTGTGTCCTCCTATGCGACGCCCACGTACGATCCCTTCCCCGTCTCTCCTGTGACGCCCACAGATGATCCTGTCCCTGTTTCTCCCACAGAAGATCTTGCCCTTGTCTCTCTTCCTCTTATTCCCACAGAAGAGCCTCTTCCTGTCTCTTCTCTGATTGTCACAAGTGGCCTTTTCCCTGTGTCCTCCTATGCGACGCCCACGTACGATCCCTTCCCCGTCTCTCCTGTGACGCCCACAGATGATCCTGTCCCTGTTTCTCCCACAGAAGATCCAGTCCCAACTACCCCATAAGGTGTGCAACGTTATTAGGCCCCCCTTTTCATCTCAAAATGCGTGATGTTGATTCCAGATTTCCTGAGTCTTGCTGGGACCTTCTCTGTTCCGACCCCAACCCTTACTCGTTTTATAGTAAGGCAGAAAATATCACAACCTATTGGTTTCTAGATAAGAACCCTGAGTGTTTCGAACAATCAAACCCTGTCAGTGGACAAGATGAAGTTTTTAGTAAATTACATATTATCACTCTTAAGATACAACTGATTGTTTTGAATCCTATCTGCGTTCAGTCGAGGGGTTTTGCATATATACAGACCTTTCAGAAAGAGTTTTCTGCAGTCTTACCAGTCTGTCAAAAGAGTCTTTGTGTCTCAGGTTCAACTGTCTTGTCTTATACAAAACTCAATACGATTCTCATAGGACCTGAAAATTTGTATTACAATGAGTTCGCAGATACCTGTCTCAGTGAGCTGCGAATTAAAACACAGAATGGCAGCTTCATTTCTAGTGATCAAGAAGTGTATTATATGAGTGAATATCCAGAGTCCTCCCCTTGCCCAATGGCTGTGATCCTTAAGACGTTTACATCTGGTACACGTGTCGTCATACCATTCCGGAGCAGCTGGTGCGGGGCAGTAGATCTTAACACATGGTATGAAATCCTCATCTCTTTCTATTCCTCGAACCAAACCAACCCCAGACGTCAGCTCTCAAGATGTTTGCTGCAGAAGTCTAAGAAGTGGAAGTACGAATTTAGCAGATATATTGGATTACTGGAAGATCTCATGGGTGACGATCTGGAACTGCCTGACTTTCCAGACGCTTGCCTTACCTTTCTTTGCAACCCTGGTGTCGATTTTACCGTCGTCGTCGTAAAGAAGGAACCAGCACGAAAAATGTGGTTCCCTTATATAAGTCTGTGGTCATCAAAGCGCTCTGAAGTCAAAGAAGTCATGCTATGCCAAAAAGCGATATCGGGAGCTGATACTCAGGGCCAACAAAGTGAACCTCTCTTAACCGATCTTGCAACCCCACTGTCACAAAAGGACACAGGGCTGTCGGTCGCACTCATACACTCGCTGCTCTGGTCGTGTCCTGCGGGCGGAGGCGGAGACGAATTGGGGCGCCTTCGAGCTGAGATTCTCTACAGTCTGTGGACGGTAGCCAGCAGCCTTCCAGAGAGCTGCGTTTCGCTTGTGTGTAGAGGTTCAGTTGACAAATTCCACAGGAGTGTTTATCGGGTGTTAGTTAATGACAGAGATGGCATCAATGCATCTCTGGTTCTTTCCTGCAACCAGCAGATAACAAGTCGATATAATACTATAGGAGACGTTGCAATGTTTAAAGTTGTTGTGAATAAAACGGAGGAGACTATTGTCTTTTTGTATGCAAGTTTCCCATTGAATGACATTACAGCAGATTTTCTAAGTTTAGCATATTCGGTGAGGAAAATCGATATTATAAAATACTGTGATGATTTTTCTCAGCTCTACAGGATTTCATATAATGGAATAATTTACTACATGTGCAGCAGTAACCAGAATATATTCATAGCCATGGAAAATCCATATCATCTCTGGCACAAAGTGCCAATCACTAAAAATATAGATCTTTTTGTTTTTAAAAATGACACTCGCTATTCGAGTTCCATATACTTCTTAAGGTGGTTGGCAATCTTCAATGTTCAACTGTCAAATGCATCCCAATTATACATTCAACAGTTACCTTTATATACATCTCACTTCTGGAGAACATCCATCATTTTTTCCTTCCAGCAATATTCACTGCACCAAAGATTCACAGAATTCATCAGCAATCTTGAAAGTGCTCATCTGCTCTGTCGAAAATCATCTCAGTTCACTTTGTGCCACAGAACCAACAGCCAATTTCCGGACACCGTGCACACAACCGCTTACCTCCTGTTCATTCACAGCTGTTCAGTGAGTATCATGGACAAGGACAAGATTATCCTCCTGCTCCTCGCTGCGTTCAGAAATACGAAGGTGAGCTCAGACCTGCTTTGCCGGAGAGAGAAAGTGGTGGCCATGGTGGAGGCGGCGGCACAGCACATCACCTACGTCACAAGAGGCCCTCGCGTCCATCTCACGCCAGTCTTGAGGACTCTTCGGGCGGCTTTTCCCGGACGCGCGTGGCAGGAAGGGGGCGTGGGAAATCAGTGGACTTTGTTCCAGCTGGGAGCGTGTTTGCAACTCAAGGACGTTTCCAAGTTTCTGCAGCTGCTGAAGTCCAGCGAGTGTGTTTCTTACGTAAGAAACGGTTCCGCGGTATTATTTCAGTCGGGGGATGTCATATCATACCACGCCGTCATATTCCCACTGAAACACGCCAGAAAAGTCAATACCACCCGAGGTCCCGAGGTCAACATGGACAGTGATATTGAAGCCTTTGATGTTGTGCCTTTGCGACCGACCCTCATTCTCTCTTCAAGTTATATGTACATTAGCAAGCTTATGGAAAATCCAACGCCTCCGTATATAATTGACATGCCTCAAACGGAGGAAATTTCTACTGCCCAGGTAAATGCCAAAACAATTTTCCGCGCCACCCTGTACAACAACATGCGGTGCCTCCGAGACATCAGGGAGGGCAAGTTCCAAGTATTTAGAAGCGCAGCAAAGCTCATCATGGGGCCCATCCACGACGACCTGATAGAGAGCCCATGCTTCCTCTCTCTTCCCCAGGATATAATTGACATTATGCAAATTAATTTGTCTAATAACCGGACGACCATTAATAAATTCTGGCCTTCGTGTTTGCACAATATGGTTGTATCCTTATTCGGAAGAAACCAGCCTGTAGACTGGTCATACCTTGACTATGGCTGCCAGGGAAATGAAATTGCATTGCTAGCTGTATCTGTCACCATCACCACAGTGACGGTTTTAGGAAACGTGCTCGTGTTGGTGGTAATCCTAGCCACGGGGCTGGTGCAGGAGGCAACCTTCCTGCTGCGGGCATCGCTCGCCGTGGCCGACTTGCTGCTGGGCGCGATGCCGGCGGCCCTCGCGGTGCACGACTCCATCTCGCTCATGCGCGGCGGACTCAGCCTTCGCGACCTCAGTCCTGACACGATCCATGTTAACTTTACCAAGCTCTCGGTGCGCCAGCCTCCCGGCTTCCAGCAGCTGAGGTTCGAGAGGCGCGGCTACCCTATGGCGTGTAGCGTCGTCTTCAATGTCTCCTGCATCGTGTCGCTGTTGTCGCTCGCCCTCATGAGCGTCGAGCGCTTCTTCGTGGTCCTCGGGCGTCCGTTGGGCCGCCGCCTAGTGTCGACGGGCGTGTGCGTCAGCTGGCTTGTGAGCGTCGCTTTGTCTCTCCTCATCAACTGGCGCCGGAGCCGAGGCTTCTCCTTCGTCGGATACTTCGATCCAATCACGAAACTAACCATCAGCATGGGGGCGGGCGCGCCGTCCGTCTCCTTCTTCGTCTTCTACCTGGTGGTCACCATCCTGTCCGTCGCCGGGGCGCTCACAGTCCTGCTCACCGTGGCCACCCTGGCCGCCCTCCACCGCAGCAACAGGATCGCCAAGAACAAGCTGTCCATCCACTCGGCGGTGCGCGACGAGGAGATGCAGCGCGTGACGTGGACGCTGCTGCACATGGCCCTCCTGTTCGGGCTGTCGAGCGTGCCCGTGGCCGTGGACGCCCTGGCCGACCTGCCCCGCGCGCGCCCCGTGGCTCACTTCTTCGCCTGGTGGCTCTTCGTGGCCGGCGCCTCGTGGAACTGGGCTCTCTACTCCCTCAGCGGAGGGAAATTCCGTAAGCACGTGCTCCAGCTGCTGGTGCGGCGCCGTGGCAATGACCGCAGCGGGAGGAACAACTCTAAGTGGTAGTAGGAACTCAATGAGGAAAGAGGGCGAAGAACTGGGATAGCCGTTGGAGGATGATTCAGCCCCATGCTCACGACACACAACCTGTGAATACACACACACACACACACACACACACACACACACACACACACACACACACACACACACACACACACACGCACACACACACACACACACACACACACACACACACACACACACACACACACACACACACACACACACACACACACACACACACATACATATGCATATGTACATATAAAAGTAGATAGATTGTTAGACGTATCTGTGGCGACATTCTAATACATTCAACACTTCTGCAATACAACAGCTCTTTGTTCCATTAGTATACGAATGTAAATATATTATGCTTATATACAGTTATTACATTTTCATGAAAATCCGGTTGTATTTCCCCTGCATGCCTCTGAGAATGACTGTCAACATACACAACCTTATTTCCAGTTGTAACTACCAGGGAGGGTGTGACGCCATTCTCAAAACCGAGGCTTTGTCAAGAACATCCAAAAAAGTTATGCTTGTTCCGGGTAACAACGAATCCTTAGTCAGAGGAAACTTTTCGCCCCATGTCTATTTGCTCGTTTTCCGTGACTATAATTTTTAGACTTTGGTGCGTGATTCTCAAGCAATATTGCAGCGTGACATTTGGATAAGAAAGTACTTTAGTTAGATTAATTCTAACCAGGGTCGGATTGATGTATAAAGCTAAATAAACTATAGCTTAGGGCCTCGCATTTTGAGATCGCTGAGTTTGATGATTTTCCTGAAATTATTTTGTACTGCATCCATACGAGTCATTCTTTAGGTTATGCTATTGAGTGAATGACATCACCGTTTTCAAATTTGACAAGACTTAATTTTCATTTTGCAAGAGCCTCCAAGCTTGTTGTAACTTAGGACCTTGTCAAGTCAAAATTCGGCACTGATTTTAACTCTAGTCATTTTAATGAATTTTCGTTGGCAGCACACTACAGTGAATGGTAGAAATTACACTTCACCAAAGCCAAAATACTAGTTATGCCCCCGTTAATATAGCATATTTTACCATTTACATAGTATAACATTAAGGAACTCTAGAGAGAGAGAGAGAGAGAGAGATAGAGAGAGAGAGAGAGAGAGAGAGAGAGAGAGAGAGAGAGAGAGAGAGAGAGAGAGAGAAAGAAAGAATTAAGAAGAAAGTAAGGTTCTTTTTGTGTTCAGAAATAAAATGCCCTACATTTCTTGTATTTTTTATAATTGATTTTGACATTAATTGCATTCCTAGCAAGCATCTCTTATCAGTGTGTAGAAATAATTAAAACAGATTATTAAAGACGCTTTTTTTATTATTTGTAAAACACATTTTTTTCTTGATCTCATGTGCCATTATCACACATTTAGCAATTCACAGTAGTAACATTTATTGCTGCAATACTGACGTTTTTTATTTGTAAAACACATTTTTTTCTTGATCTCATGTGCCATTATCACACATTTAGCAATTCACAGTAGTAACATTTATTGCTGCAATACTGACGTTGTGAAATAATTCTCAATGTTTTCATGTGCATGGATTTATAGTGCTTATTGCTTATTTTTAATCCATTGTCCTTTAAAATGTCTCTGTTATCAAATAAAAATGAAAAAAAAAATGCATAGTAATTATTATCAAAGTATCATTTCATTAATAGTTTCTTCACATAGACTAAGATCATATCCTGTTAACTTGAGTTTAATTATATTTGCATATGAGATGAAACAAGACTGTTAAGAATTTTTTTTTTTCATGATAAAGTAGTTCACTTAATTCTACATTATGACTGTTTCTCTGAACATGGTGTTTGTAACTCATTTCATCTCTTTTGTTTCTGTTTTGGTAATATGTGTGCGTATTTCTAAATAGTTCAGTTGTTTATTATCTTAAAACAATTCACTATTTTGTCATGTACTATGTTGAGGCTCCTTGGGAAGCATTCACTATTTTGTTCTTTCATAGAGCTTTTAACACATGTACAAATATATGTACAAAAGGGAAAAGGAAACACAAACTTATAATTTCTTTTACTGGTAAAGCTGCACAAACACAGAAGTAAAGTTGCCCTGAACAGAGCCAACGACTTCATTTTCAAATTTTATAGTTAATTTAGGTTTAGAAAACACTAACACTGTACCAATGAGCAATGATTGGACCACCTAAGTTAGAACATTTGCAAGCTTATCGAAGACTGGCATGAGAGGAGCTTTTTTTACCGTTGTTTAAGAAAGCACAGTCTAAATGGCATATCTATTTTATGGATCAGAAAAGGATAATATCTTGTCTCCATTTCAGTTCTTAGTTAACCATAAAAAATAGGGAGTAAACTCAGTAGTTTTTGTAGAGCAATTTAAAAACATTACATTTTGGAGGTAATAGTAAGTTCATTATGTCCACAATTACAGGAAGATGCCTATAAAAAAGACAAAACGTAAAACAATCATGCCTTGCACATAGTAAGGCAAAGGTTATGCAAACTCATCCAAGATGTTCAAATCTAACAGTACTTGGGTTTATTGTATATTAAGAATATTTCTTTTTAAGTGTAACATATAAAGAAGCCATGGATATCTTTTGTCATGAAGTGAATTTAACTGGGTCTTATTCTTAAACCTATTCTTAATGCTATTGCTATCAGTCTTCATATACTGTTTGGAGTATTATTTGGGACACTTACTTTTCCTTATTCACTTTTACCAAAATCCTAAATCTTTTGAAATCCTACATGACTTTATAGAGCACTAATCGTTATCTGTTAAAACAGACTGATATAGCAGTGAATTCTTATATAACACACACGTTGCTTGATTTTAACCATGATACAAAAACTATCTCAGACATTCTGAGAAATTACCTTATGTCTAACATCAATGGCAGGAAACAAGCTGAAAAAAATCCCATTGAGAACCTTTCTTGTTAATCAGTTAATCAATATAAACAACATATTCAGTGTCTTTATTACTTGCAAGTGAACGAATGCAAAATATTGACACCAAGATTTACAAACATTTTAAAAACTTTCACATGTGTATGGGTCCCATTAATAATGAACTAAGAAACATATAATATAAAGTATAAATTATTCAGTCATGTAAATGCTAAATATCATTCTTTATGTGAGTTGTCATACTTACATGTAATAAAAACAGCTCTTTTCATCTTATAATATCTAAACTCACTTTGACATTTCTGGAAAAATATTCTGACTCATAGTTTCCTAGCTGGAGGTTAATATAGGAAAATAGCAATAATTGCAAGGTACTTCCTGTACATTTTTAATTTTCCTATCATTACACTGTCAAAATTTTATTGTGTATATGTAAAATTCTCCAATCTGCCTAAAAAAAAAAAAGGCAGGTAAAAATATGATAACAAGAAAATAATTTTGTTATAAATAATCCTAGGAAAAACACTTAAGTAGGTACAATGCTATTAGGTCAAAATAATGTAACATTTTGGTTTGGCTAAATTATAAATATTCAGTTTTCCCTTTGGTGTGTTGGGACAAAAATGTGTTTCAGGTTTCAGACTTGAAGCTGAATTAGGAAATTAACATTTTGATTACACAGCATCATTCCAAAATTGCATTATATTTCCTCAGTTATCACATTACGTAACAAATTTTGCTGAGGGATGAAAGTAAAAGATAGAGAAAAAATTCAAGGCATCTGTTAAGGAAACCTCAAACACATATTTGTACAGCTCTGTAATCTAAAATAAGTCAACACATCAACAAAAAGGTAGTAAGAATACTTCTTATGAAAATATATATTTTATTCATCATACTGTGACTCATTAAATACCATTATACGTATAAAGAAAAATAATAACCTGACCAGTCTATAAACATTTTACATTTTAGCAAAGCATTCTGGTTTCAATAATTCCTTCATTTTACTTTAAAAGGAGTAGGAAATGTGTATCCTCTTTTATCCAGTTTTTCCTTCCACAGAACTTACACGAATCTATGAACTGGTCCGAGAAGTGACTGGATAATGTTCAGAATCGGAAAAAATAAACTTGATCGGCACAATTTGCTCTTTGTTCGGCCATCATCTCCATGCTTATGTGAAGGGGAAAAGTAAATACTCTTGGCTAATCTCTACAACTTTCTCTATAAACCTTATATTATGAGAAGGAAGCCATTCATATTTATCTCTTCTACAATGGCATTTTCTTAGACTATTGTGCCTTATCAACGTATTTTGTGCAATAACACAGTAACTTTGGCTTTGATGCTTATTCTATATAAAAGGAAAAACATAATTTGATTTTGTGAACCTAAATCTCTTTCATTTATTGATTTTTTTTCTTTTCTCAGTATGTTAGATATTGAGCAAACATTTTGGAGAAGATTCAGTGATTACCAATACATTTGGAAAATCATCATACTCATAATAACAGCACTAAAGTAAATGGTTTACAGACAGTTATTAGCTGCATAAATATATATGAATCTGTGGCAATTTAATAAGGCTTTACACTCATGGTGGACTCTCTTACACATTCTGAGCTACAATCACTGTCTAGCATAACCTGGAAGCACAACACCTAAATTCATGCTGTGGAATGATCATGTCGTGGAACATTCGTTTGTTGAGGTTGTAAGATGTACGGGTATATTTGTGGGGAAAATTGAAAAAAGCCAGTAACAATTAACACCCTGTTATGATGAAGGAACTGTGGAGGTGATTGAGAAAAGCAACTCAGAAAAAGCAAAAGCACTGGGTTTTCCATTTCTCATAGTGTCATCATGTGGTTACAAAACGTGGTGATGTCACTGCAAGCGTATTTGAGTACAAAAAAAGCCAAAGCAACACTAACACTTGAGTGCTTTAGTCTCATTCCGCATTACCAAAAGCAGAACCAAACACTTTTGATTTCAAATTCTAAAAAGGATATTGTTTGTGTTAGTTAATTACATCTAATTATCAACCATATTACTGACATTCTGAGTAACTCATCATCATCATAATAATAATGATAATAATAATTAATAATAATTAATAATAATAATAAAAGGATTGAAAAAATAACACAGATATTCTTAATAAAAATTCTAATACCAAGAGACACACTGACTAATGCACATAAAGCAAAATATACGAGTTATGTTTACTAAGTAGCTGTCCATTGTCTGTGGTTGTCAGTGTACAATTAAATCAAACAGTTAAAAGCATTAAAAATGTAAGCACTAGTTAAAATGGCCATCTTTTATACAACCTATATAAACAGCATTTCATTATCTTCAGAGTTCCCTTGGCATATAACAAATTCTCCTTATTTGTTATCATATAAATATTTATTGTAATCAAGTACTGTTCCTAATCTTTTTCTGTCAGATAAAATATGACAAGGCTATTCCTCTTAAAACAACTTAGAATTATTTGCTTAACAGTTTAACATGGCAACATCAAAATTCCTTACACATGTAAATGCATTCTTTGC